ACGCTCTTCCGATCTCCCCAAAACCCCAAAACCCCAAAACCCCAATGGATGTTGATAATCTTAATAAATTGAAATAAATTACAGAATAGACTTGAATATTTTTAAATCCTTTCAGATTTTTATTTAATGGATAAATCTGGCTCTAAAAATCACTTAATGAATCAGTACTCTACCAATACTCAAAGCCACTTCAACTCTCACCAGACCCACACAATTAACTCTAAGATTATTCTGAAGTCAAGCACACATGAAGAATTTAACTATGATGAATTCGAGAAGACGCTTGTAGGAGTGAGTTCACCTGCTTAACATAATCCTGAGCCACAAATTATCTATGACAATCAAACCTATAAGATTCCTAGTGAGGCTCTCGTCTCAGTAAAAAAACTGCATTTAAATGATGTGCCTATTAAGAAGATGAAGCCTATCATGCTTCACCGATAAAAGACTTAGAACTCAAATGCGCTGGCAAATAACAACAATACAAGTGCCAGCGATTACATAGCTCAGACAACTAAAAGTGAATAACAGTAACCTTTGGTGAAAGGGACACCAGTAGTTGTGAAAAACGCAGGGAGTGTGACGAAGGCTTCTCAAACTGGCAGCTTTTAATACTACTTTCAAATATCTCCAGTAGAGGATCACTCAAATCGAATGTCTTTCATTAAGAATAAGATAATGCTTCTAAATAAAGTCAATCAACAGAAGAATTTGCAGAGACTCGTGAATCGACAAGAGCTTTAGTTTCAGTAACAACAGCAAGTGAACCCTGGAATGGGAAACGGCTTCCTTGAGTATAACTAACTCGATGCCAAAGAAGCTGGGGGGATAGATGGTCAAGTAGCCTAGGCTTATATGATGATGAGTGGAACGCAGTCTAGCTTGATACACTCTATTAAAGATCAGGATTTTATGAAAAATCTTTTGGATCGTAAAAGAAGTAGTGGGAGAAATATTTATAATAACACAGTAGGATCAATGTTTTAAAACTATCAATCAAACCAAGGTAATCTAACTAGTAGGACTGTAATTTCTGGGGGTTCTAAGATAAATTTAAATCAACAATTATCTAATGAAAAGAATCTACTACCTAATATCTTTGTGATGGAAAAGGCTGGAAATGCAACTACGAATACAAGCAGTAGGAATTATGCACCTGGGCAGATAAGTTAAAAAACCCCTCAAAAGATCGCTTTAAATGGCACTGGTGGTCTTAACACTTCAATCTATAATTTGACATAGGTAAATTCGCACGGAAGAGTTAGAAGTCAGCTTAATATGAGAGATGGTGGGGCTGAATATGCTGGTACCAGTAGCTACATTGATTCCTCGCTCAGAAAAAAGAGGAATATTGACTTGTTCAATGATCTCGAAATTATTGTGGGAGGCAACAGTGTCCGCCAGAATTTCAATTAATCCTCATCAAATGACCTGCATTCTACTTATAGGTCAAGGAGGCTAAAGGAATCAGCAGATAAGCAGTTTATAGCTCAGATGTCAAGCAAATTAATCAATAAGGTGGTAAATTAACTGTAATTTAGATCTCAAAGCCAAACTGATGCAATCGCAGTTATAGATCCATAAGTTTCAGTAATTTTTATATAATTATGTTATAACTCTCTAGGGGATTGGCAATAACATTTTAAAGCCAACTTTGGTAACCAAGGTGTAAAAGCAGTAATTTGTAAAGTTGGAGGAACTTAGAGCTAAATCACTAGCCTCCCAGTAAAACAGAGGTCTATATAGTTTTACTAAATCAGAGGCCTTTAAATGTAAAAATAATTTGAGCTAAACATAAATTAGAGTATTCACCAGCGCAGCAAGAAATGGTTAAGAGTGATTTGAGAAAGATTTAAAGAGACGAATATTCCAATAAGATATATAATACAACATCTAATTTAGCTATGCTGAATAAAGATGGGATATTAAGCATTGAGGATGATGGGGGTTTAGATCTAAATATATCTTAGGAATCCTTAGATGATATCAAGAAAATAAGGTAGGACTTATTGAGATCAGAGCGAAAAGACAGTTGTATGGATAATGACGATGATAAACTGGATTTTAATGAGGATTTTCTGAGAGGCTCAATAAAATAGTGCAAACGTGATGAACTAGATCTTTATAAAAAGGTATATTATCATTCATCTGCAATATTAAATAGTTGATAAACAAGATTAGAAGGATGAAGGCAGGCCATCAGATATTCGACCGTATTCCGATAGTCAATAAGGGAGAGAATCAGGGATCTACGCAAGTTAAAAGTCCGCAAAATCAAACTAAATTTGGATTAGCAGCAGCTAACGTGGCTAGTCAATAAGTAATGATTAAGAAAAAGAAACAAAAAAAGCACAACTGTGATAGAAGCTACGACTACAAAAAGGACATGTTTTGAGTAAAGAGAGTAATAATGATTAAGTATAGTAATTGTAGAAGTTATATGGAATTTAAGAGAGGGTTAGTTTTAATTATATTATTAGTATTGTGCCTTTAATAATATAGTAATTATTTAATAAAATGGAGCACCCAGCAACAAAGGAAGGATTCACGGATAGAATTTACAGAAATGTCAATGAAATGGTATAATAAAGCTCATTTGATTATCAATTATGATAGGACTTTGAAGGTTAAAAACTAGCAGAGAAAATTATGAGAAATGTGATGATTCTTTCAGCAGTAAGTTAATGGTTCATTTACCTTATACGTGTTATTATTATTGATATGCTTATTTGCTAAATTATTGATACAATATCTTAATAGGTTATTGGCTTTGGAATTGGATACGTCAACGAAAAATTCTCCCACACTGTATACATAATGCTAGGCTCAATGTTCTTACTCTTTTTGGTAAGATATTATTATAATGTTTAATGAATTAGATCACTGGTCCAGCTCTCCCAATTTACAAAAAGAATGAACTTCAGTGGAGGTCCCATGAAATTTCGGCAGAGGTAGTGGATAAGAAATAAAAATGAGCATCTTGCCAATACAAGCGAGACAGATAGCAGTTTATTGAATTAATGAGTTGGCTTATATTTGGAATGATGAATCTTATAATTTGCAACAATTGCGGCAGCTAGGGGTTTTGGGGTTTTGGGGTTTTGGGG